CTAGAGGCAGTATACTTTTTATATTTTAAATAAATATTTTTATTGGGCCCACGGGCCTACCCAGTCCAGCCTCGGTCAAGCCTCACGGGCCAGGGGCTTACTCTGGCTGGGCTTAAAAGCCTCATTTTTTAAATGGGCTCCAAAAATTTTAGCTCCAGCCTGCTAAATCACGGGCTGGACTGGGCTAGGGTGACCCAACGAGCCAAGCCCATATTAATAGCTCTAATTATATACTGTAACAAATTCCGATTAGGCTCAGTTCGAGATCTGAACTCAGTACTATCATAAGCTCTCTTAGGAGCTCGAGTGGCTAAGCTCAGACGCTTAGACTTAGTTTTATGCGAATAATATTCATACAAAATTAGAAATAAAATCTTGGTGTAGCTTTTACTATATCTTTCAGCACAGCAATATCCTCTATTACGTGAAAGCCACAACCTTAAAACCCTTAGCGTCGTTTGGCAGGGAAATAAGTTATTTCGGGATTATAACGATAGGATTATAGTACGGAAATTAAATATTGACAAAATTATTTAGGGCGATGTGCACAAATAGCCACTAACAACTCCTGTCTTTATTTTAAAGCCAGTGTTTTAAATGTCTTTAGTCTTTAGCCACTGGTTTAATAAACTTTAACTGCCCGGACGAAAATACCCTTCTGCTCATGTCCTTAACTTCAGGACTACATGTCCTTAACTTTTGAACTTGAAACTCTAAGTTCAGGACTTCAAGACTACATGTCCTTAACTTTTTAACCTGTAACTCTAAGTTCAGGACTACATGTCCTTAACTTTTGAACTTGGAACTCTAAGTTCAGGACTTCAAGGCTACATGTCCTTAACTTTTGAACTTGGAACTCAAACTTCAAGACCAAGCGTCCTTAACTTTTGAACTTGTAAGTCAAAGTTAAGGACCTATTGTCCTTAACTTTTGAACTTGTAATTGTAAGTTAAGTACTGCTTGTCCTTAACTTTTGAACGTGTAACTGTAAGTTAAGGACTGTCTGTCCTTAACTTTTGAACTTGGAAATCAAAGTTAATGACCTATTGTCCTTAACTTTTGAACCTGTAACTGTAAGTTAAGGACTGCTTGTCCTTAACTTTTGAACTTGGAAATTAAAAGTTATTCACTTGAAATTTTGATAAGTAGTCTGTAGTACCATTCTTAATTAAAGCTATACAATTCTGCATACAGTTGAAGATTAATTATTTTATTGTGTCTTGGTACTTTATTTTATTTCCCAAGCGCATTGACTTTTTAGATCATTTTGAAAATTTTAGTAAATCTGCACTCTTTTGTTACTATTAAATCCATGAACAAGAAAATGTGGTGGGTGGTAACAGAATGATATTAAAATTAATAGCCACTACCGTCATGGTAGATGATGGTAGTGGAGCGTACATCATCCATCCCCGAGGATTTGGGAAGAAAAGCAAGGGAAGAAAGGGTAAAAATGTCTTTTCATATTAATTTTAATAGGGTAGTGACTATTTTTGCTCGACATTAGAATTGCTGGATAAAAAATAAATGCCACCTTAAATAGTGGCTACCCCATGCCATTTCTACAATTATTTACGCTCCTTGTCACTTCGCCTAACAGTCCATCAGAAAATGGCCCATGTTTGAAGCCCTTGCCTGATATGCCCAAGATTGTTCATAATTTAAAAATTACTTTTTACCAGTTAGCCTACCCCATTTAATTTTTTTTCTTTTCTTCGTTCTTCTTCTCCCTGCATCACAATTTTGCATCCCAAAATTTCTCTACCATTATGTTTATTCTTCAATCTCCTTCCAGATTCAAAGTTGATAACCACTATTTAGGTGATAAGAAAAAATACTACGTAAAACAATTATTTTGTTTGGAGTCACCATTAAAGGTCGTTCGAAGCTTTAATTTCAGAAATTGGATTTTCTAATTTTGTTAGTTGTTTGGATTGGGTGTTGTCCCAATTAATTGGGACCATCAAGAGGAGTTCAAAACTCAAATTTGAAGTGATTTGGAGTAGATTTAAGCTAAATTTGAGTAGAATTTCATAAGATGCCCAAGGAAGAAGAAGAACCCGTGAAGCTCCATTAATAAGATTCATTTGTATAATAGTGTATAATTATATAAGTGATGCATAATAGTGTATAAACACCTCTTATACAAGGCTGATACATTATTTACAGGTATTTGATGGATTTCTCACATTTCTTCTTCTTCTTCTTCAACTATCTCTTCAACTACTACACCTATATACATAGTGTATCACCAATATTTTTACTACTGTACTTATATATATATATATATATATATATATATATATATATATATATATATATATATATATAATGTACCTCTTTGTATAAAAGTGTATAATATTGTATAAAAGTGTATAAGCATCTATGATGAACTTTTTGTACGATTTTTACTTGCAATTCTTGTATAAAACTAGTCCANATATATATATAATGTACCTCTTTGTATAAAAGTGTATAACATTGTATAAACTCTGACGAACTTTTTATATGATTTTCACTTGCAATTCTTGTTTAAAACTAGCCCAAATCTCCATCAAAACTTTGTATACAACCTACTTAGGCTATTACTAATAAGTTCAAAAAATACCCACTCCAAATTTCTTACAAAATCATATTCGAAATTTAACAAGATTAGAATTAAAGGAGATGGGATTTTAGATTTCTCGCGTATTTTTTTGCGTTTTTTTAGCTATAATAGGTATATAAAAACTTGAGAAAAAAGGGGAACAGAAACTCACGGATGTATCACGCCTGAAGATATAGAGAACAAAAAAAAAATCAGATCGAAGCTTATTTTTATTTGACTACACATTTGCAAACTTGTGAATGGGCTAAAATACTACAAGGTTAACTTACGGAGTGCATTATTCTGTAATTTTGTCAATACTTTTTTTGGAAGATGTTTGGTTTATTGGACTAAAAATACAATATACAACCATCTATGACATAATATAAATATGTGTTCGATGTATATTAGATAAATTAGGATAAACTTTTGAGTTTCAATTTTAATCGTATATTATTTAAAAAAGCTTTGGAGAATGGCATCCTGGTTATTTTAGTGTAATTAATCCCAGAATTATTACTCTCCCTCAATGTGAGATGGAATAATACGTAATTATGGAATTAATTAATCTCTGAATTATTAATTCCGAATTCAAAAATTCAAATCAAACGGAATAAAATAATTTTGCATCTAATTCCAGAATTTTTATCTCTTATTCCACTTACCAAACGGCACTTAATCTTTGAGAATACTGTACAAAATTTGGAGAAAATCAAATGATGATAATGCTATTCCTATGATGTACTGCCTCGTTTAAATGAAGCCAAGTGTTGTCATTATTATAAGCTCAAATTGACCCCTAATAATTTTCATTTTCAATCTAAAGAATAGGACAAATATTTAATCTGACAACTGACACTTGTTTAGTAACCCATAACTTACTCATCCTTTTGGGCCCCACCTTTACTCAATCTTTATCCTTATCCACTTTGCTTTCCTCTTTCCACTCCCAAATTTGCTCTTTCCCAACCCCCTTTTTTATATCTATTTTTTTCCCCAAAAAAAGAAAATTCTATATTTTCTTTGAAGTTACTCATATAAATTATAGACAGTGAATTTAGTTTTTAAAATAAATTATAAACTTAATTTTAAGTAATGTAAATCATACTTTATACTGAGAATATTTTTAAATTAGTGGGCGTTTGGACATAAGAATTGTAAAATTTCGATAAAAATAAATTTTTTTTCAAGTGAAAATGGTATTTGAAAATTAGAGTTGTGTTGGACATGTATATAAGTTTGCGTTATTTTTGAATTTTTGTGTGTGATTTGAGTGAAAATTTTGAAAAACAATTTTTTTGGAGTTTTTTAAATTTTCAAAAAATTCCAAAATTCATCTTCAAGCGAAAATTTAAAATTTTATGGGCTAAACACTGATTTCGGAAAAAAGTGAAAAATTTTCATGGCCAAACGGGCTCTTATAGTAAATAAATTACTTACTTTCCGGGTAGGAGTGCAATCGTTTTTTTTCTTTGACAAAGTAAAACAATATTTATACTAAATTAGGAACCTTTATTTTCACATAGACCAATCTTGAAATAAGAAATGAAAAATATGTTTAAAAATTGTAACTGAACAAGAAAAAAAAAGCTAAAGATTAGGCGCTATATTAGCACCAAAGCTCTATAAATTCTAGGCATTGAGCATTATCATTTTTTCATATATTGTAACTAAGAGAGTTGAATATTTTGGAGAAAAAAAAGAAAGAAAGATGGTGTTAGATGGTTGGGATGAAGTTATGGCTGGGCCCCACCCCACTACTAGAATCCGAAAGGGTCTCTCTATCAACACTTCGAGTAAGAAATTTTTACATCATCAGGTTATCTTTATCTCGAAACGTCTCTTTTTATCAGCAATTTGATTATATATTTAAAATATTTTCATGTACATAGACTTTGAGTTAGATTTAGAGTTTAGAGACGGTCAATTTTGAGTCGTGATAGTAATTACTAAATATTATAATATAGTGTGTAACAAGGATATATAATGTGGAAGTTTTTATGGCCAATTTTTTCTTTTTACCAGAAAAATATAGACGTGAACGTAAAATCAGCTATTGATGCTTGCCTATGTCATCTATGGAATGCGGCCTTCCTACTAACTTTTTATAAAAGCAAATTTAGAATTTTAAGACCAAAGATGCACAACATCGATATATATATTTTTTTTGTAGAAATGAATGTGATTTTTGGTATAAATAAATAATTTTAATTAAAAATATTTAATTATATAATTGAAATCGAAGACACAATAAAAACATATACATTGACGAGTTAGATCCAGAGGGGCAAAACTTCCGTATTGGGAATAGAAATAATCTATCTGGAAACATCCATTAAAAAAGAAAAGGAAAATTCCAAAAAACTAGAAGATAATTTCAGTGCGAAACTCTCTATTTATTCTAGCCAAGAGCCATTATTCTATTTATTCTTTACACTAAAAAATACAGAGTTAAAGAGAGAAAAAAAATAGTGAAGAAAATGGTGTTAATTGAAAAGCTGTGGGATGATGTTATGGCCGGACCTCAACCAGATAAAGGCCTCGGCAAACTACGAAAGAGTATAACTGTCAAAACTACTGGTAATCCTTTAAATAAATATATATATAATATGATCCTTTTTTTTTCTTTATATATATTCATGCATTAATTAATCAGAGCACTATTTTTCCTTATATTTTCTCTACTTTATTATCTTCTTCAAGTTATTTACATCATTCTATAAGGGTAGTCCAGTGCTCAAGGTATTTTGCGTTCATGCAGAGTACGGGACCCATATTTTATACGGAATAAAATTCAAGATCTAAAATCCGTGAGTTTAGAATGAGTGTAGTCTTATCGTATGTATACCATAAACGTAGTTATCTTTAGTGAAGGAGATTTAATTCGTTAAAAAATTACACTCTTCGAAAAGAATAAAAACAGTTTTTTTTAATGTAATATAAGCTATTCATTGATGTAGGTTCATATATCATAGGTGTGATATTTTTATTATTTTTTGAATCCCTAATTCAAACTTCTCATTTCACCAATGATATGTATATTTTTAATTTTTTTGTACTATATATAAATATAAAGTTCGAGCCGAAAATAATGAGTTTAGTTGGACGAGCAGAATCTGCATTAGATCTGCAGTGAGAGAGAAGCATAGATTTGATGGAGCTTGTATTGACTCGGTTAAATTAAACGTAGTATCATAACACAATACACATATACATGTGAAAAATCGTTAATGTTTTAATAAATATTAAATTAGTGAACCATATAATTTCAAAAATAATAAATTTCATTATTAAGAGCCCATTTGGCCATGCTAAGAATGCCGAAAACGAAATCCATCAGTATAAATTTTGGATCTGCCTCTAGCAGAAAAGTTGTAACAATATTTGCATGTGGAAATGTGTTTGGATGAAAGATACTCCTAATAATATTCTTAGTGTGTAACTCTTTCATTTGGTTCATTAGGTGGGGAAGGTGGAGAAGGATCAGGTAAGTACTACCAAAGGTCACTGTCGATGTCGGGGAGCCCAACGACGCCGGGAACTCCGGTGACACCGACTACTCCGTCGCCAACGGCGGCGGCGAAGAAAGAGAATGTGTGGAGGAGTGTATTCAACCCTGGAAGCAATATTGCTACCAAGAGAATTGGTGCTGAAGTCTTTGACAAACCCTCTCACCCCAATTCTCCCACTGTTTATGACTGGTAAGTCTCATAGGTAATTAGAATAATGGAGTATAATATGTCAAAATAATTTAAATTATACCGTTAGTGTAAAATTATTTAATAATCTCGACGTATTTAATTCAATCATAAAAATATATTATTATCACTCAGATTCATAGTCTAGCGATACCGATGAGAGTCTTCCACAATAGGTGCGGATTCAATTTTCGTTGTACTCTCTCCCTGATCTCCACGTAAAAATAGAAAACATTAAAAAACGAAGAAGATTTTTTCCCCTTTTTAGTCATGCTATTACAGTCAGACATCTCTATAACAGTTAAGTTTTCGTCGGAATTAATTTTTCATATTATGTTATAATATATGTTCTATGTAATAGCACTTTACTATAACAATGACAAGGCTGTTATAGAGAAGTTTGACTTGTTTTTTTTAAAAAAAAATCTTGGAACAGAAGAGACTGTTATAGAAAGGTTTATAATTTTAAGCATGATTTCTAGTGTTCTGATGATAATAAAGGGCAGTTCGGTGTACTAAGCTTCCGCTATATGCGGGATCCGGGGAAAGGCCGGACCATAAGGGTCTATTGTATGCAGCCTTACCCTGCATTTCTGCAAGAGGCTGTTTCCGCAATTTGAAACCCGAGACCTCTTGGTCACATGACAATAACTTTACCAATTACGTCAGGTTGTTCTGATGATAGTAGATACGATTTATTTGGCTGAAGTGTGATTTAATTTAATTTTAATTTGCAGGCTTTACAGTGGGGAGACTAGATCCAAGCATCAGTGAGAAGTAAAGAGAAGTTATATGTAAATAACGTATTTTCCGTTAGTTTCCTTTCCTTTTCTTGTGGGGAGAGTTGTTTTGCCACTGGAAAATGGAATAGTGAATTTCAGTATTATGTTTTCTGCTGAGTATTATAAGTATTAATTAAGTACTAACTAGTTATGTGTAATTAGATTTTGAAAGCTAACTTGAGCTTCAGTTGCTTTCCAGCTACTACTAATATATGAATTAGTAGTAGACTAGTAATGTAATGTTCTTTTGCTATGTATTTTGGAATAAGAAGCTTTTTGTGTTTTTGTTATTTTCATGGTCAAGCAATATATTTTTTTTCAAGTTTCAATCAAATTTATGTCCAAACACTAACTTTGTAAGTTTGTTCATCATAGAATTCGACTTTGTGGATTAATTCAAGGGCAATTTATACTTTTGGTCGACCAAAATAATTATACATGCTAGTTAAATATTTGAAAAATATACATGATTATATATATATAATAAATAATTGGTATTATTTTTTGGGAATGTATACAGTATAGTTTTCCTTTAATTCAATGTGATGAGCTCTTATCATTTCTTATCTAGTTTCGATCCACAAACTATTGACCACACTTGGCAAGGCCCAAGATCCACTCGAGAAAGATGTTAGGCCGGCTGAGATTGCAAGTGTTGGGCCAGTGAAATCACCAAAAAAATGTAAAAATTGCATGGAGCGCGTTATTTGGTCGCCCCCTTTTAACTTATACCCGTTTTGTTTTTTCGTTTGCATTCATACCTATTTTTTTGTTAAAAGCGTTTTAAAAAGATGATTTTGCCCTTCAGGACTGTTGACAAAACAATAGTCTGCAGGACAAAACCTCTACATGTTTTGGCATGATGTTTTAGCAAATGAACTAAATAACTTAAGCATGTTTAGTCTGAAGTTTTGGCAAATGAACTAAATAACTTAAGCATGTTTAGTCTGAAGTGTCAGCAAATGAACTAAATAACTTAAGCACGCATTAGCAAAAACTCATTAGAAAATTACATACTGCAAGACAAAAACTTAAGCAGGTTTAGTCTGAAGTTTTCGCAAATGAACTAAATAACTTCAACATGTTTAAACTGAAGTTTTAGCAAATGAACTAATTAACTTCAGCACTCATGACAAAACCGTAGACTGCAGGATAAATAACTTCAGCATGCATTAGCATGAAGTTTTAGCTTCAATGTAAAACAACTTCATGATATATTAGCATGAAGTTTTAGCTTCAATATAAAACAACTTCATGCTACATTAGCATGAAGTTTTTAGCTTCGAAGTGAAACAACTTCATGCAAGTGTGATTCTGAAGATGAATTTGGATAACTTTTTGGTTTTTTGATAAAGCTGCTGAGAGGAGAGGAGGAGATTTTTTTTCATGAATGAGGTTGCAGATCACGCGATTTATCAGGGGTGTAATTATCATATTATTACGGATTTTTTGTCAACTGGATACCAAATCAATAGTTTTAAAAAATAGGGTACAGGTTAAAAGGTGACACAAATATAAGGTACGTATAATGTATTTTAGATTTATGTATAATATATGTCTAACTGTGTATACTGGCTAGAAAAAGTAAACATTGAATCTGGTCGGCTATTTGTAACAATCCCTACTTTTTGGGGTGGTTCTTAATTTTTGACTCCCGCTTTCTTCATAGGAAGAACTCCAAGATCAAAAGTGAAAAGTGTTGTCTACGGGGCAACACTTGTTAAACTTGAGAATAAAAATTCAAGACTATTCATTTTGAGGGCTAGTTATGTACTTTACCCCTGAGGAGAAGCAAAAGGGATCGAAGGTCTTCATTGAGGTTCCTAGCTAATTAGAAGAATTATTCTAAATAGCCGTCTATTCAACCGTTTAAGCTAACCGTAACCAGCAAATTGTATAATGATAAGTTATGGTATTTTGTGGTTTGATGATTTGCCAAATAGTCTTGAGGAACCAGTTGTGATCAGTTCCTTATGTTTGGTTCTTAGGGGGGATATGGATGATTCGTAGGGGGAACAATATGGAGATCCGGTTCTCAGGGGGAATATCAATTCCAAGTTTGTCATCATCAAAAAGGGGGAAATTGTTAGGTTACAAGTACTTTGGGCATAAGTACTTTACTTTATGTTTTGATGATCTAACAAACTTACCATCCAGAACCAGATAAGGAACCTGTTACACATTTACAAGACCTTAAGATCACAAAGTTGCAGGTTGGGATCCAGCGTGGGATATAACTCAACTCTTCATAGTGGAAGGAATAGCTGAGGGAACAGGTCCCTACCAGTTCCCGAGGAGACTGTACGAAGTCAACTCTCCAGCTGGAAAGTTGCTGCCTGCACACGCTACTGTACAGGAATAATGCAGCAGTCAACTTTCTGTGGAAGGCTTTTTACCTACCTTGCTTACATCATTGTAAGTGATATTAAACATGTATAAATATAATCAAGGAAGGTAAAACAACTTACTTCATGAGAGAACAAGATAAGGAATCTGATACAATTAAGTTCCCTTGCATTCAGAATAACTAGTCAGATGTCTGGTTCAATTCTCAATGAAATCAGATAAGGAAATAATAGAGGGACCAGATAGGGATCAGTTCCTCTCTTCGTTGTACAGTCAACTCTACAGTTGTAAAAGCTGCTGCACTGTACCGTCTAGCAGCAGTACATCAGCACAACTGTAGCTTGCTAAGGCCAAACTAAAGGGCACTTTATTGCATCATCCTTGATGACATTACACACACATATTATCAACATGAGGCAAGTGATTTCATCTCTCCAACACTTGAAAAAAATAAAAAGAAAATATATTCTCTCAAGTGCTAGCCACAACCTCTCTCAAGAACAAAGTTGCTGCAACCTCAAGGACCGGATCCAAAGATTGAAGATATCTTAAGTCCTTAGGTTTGTTGAATCTTTGTTATTTTTTCTTCATTTGTAACTCCTACTTAGCTTAGTTAGAAGTATTGTGTAGGAAACCCTTTGTAAATCATAAACTCTTGTGTTTGTGTCTTGGCTAGAGTTATTCGAGTTGTGAAGTCTTTGTAATAGAGTTATTACATAGTGGCTTGTCATAGTGTAGTTACAAGTTAGTGAGGGATTAAGAAGTTAATTCCTAGGTTACAATAGGTTGATATCTAAAGATTGCTCAGTAGTGAAGTTGAAATCCTACGAGGGTAGGTCGTGGTTTTAATCCCGTTGAGCTGGGAGTTTTTCACGTAAAATTCCTCTGTGTTCTTTATTTACTGCCGATTTATTGTGGGAACAAATAGAGAACCTAGTTCCCTATACTGTTTGGTTTTACAGTCTGTTGCTTACGGTGGGAACTAATAGAGAACCTGGTTCTCTATATAGTTTGGTGGACGCTTAGTTTCTATCAATTGGTATCAGAGCAGGTTCTTTCTAAAATGTTAACACCTAGAAAGGATCTTCATGGCTGCTCCACCAAACTTCGAGGAAGGTCAATCAACATACAGACCACCAAGATTCAACGGCCAATACTATGCTTGGTGGAAAACAAGAATGCATGACTTCATAATGGTCGAGGACTCCAAGCTTTTGGATGTGATTTGTGACGGTCCCTTTGTCCCTATGAAGGCTGTTGGAGAGGGAACAAGGACTGTTCCAAAAACAAGAGAAGAATACAATGGTGCTGACCGAAATGCTATTGAGAAGAACTTCAAGGCAAAGAAGATTCTTGTGTGTGGTATTGGACCAGACGAGTATAATCGTATCTCGGCATGTGAATCTGCCAAGGAAATCTGGGAAGCTCTTCAAACGGCTCGCGGGGGAACTACACAGATAAAGCAGTCCAAAATAGATATGCTTACAACTGAGTATGAACTCTTTAAAATGGAAGAGGATGAGTTTATTCAAGAGATGCATACCCGTTTCACCTCCATAATCAATGAGGTTCATTCACTTGGTGAAATCATTCCAACCAACAAGCTAGTCCGGAAGATACTCAATGTTCTACCAGGTTCTTGGGAGAGCAAGGTTAATGCTATCACTGAAGCAAAAGACCTGCAGAAGCTAACTATTGACGAGCTTATTGGAAATCTCAAAACATATGAGATGAAGAGAAAGAAGGATCTTGAAAGAAGAGAGCCCAATAAAGAGAGGAACCTGGTTCTCAAAGCTGCCCTCACCGACTCAAGTAGTGATGAATCTGAAATGACGTATCTCACTCGAAGATTTCAAAAGATGGTTCGTAAAAATGGTGGGATCCCAAAGAAAAGAAGTTCCAGTAGGAATTTCAAAGGAAATGATTGATGTCATAAGTGTCTCGCACGCAGGATTTTAGTATTTTTAGGCTTCGCCAATTAACCCAATTTCTGTTAACATGAAATTGCCCTGCGATTTGGGCCTTCTTAACGTCCATTCCGATCTGAACGAGCTTGGTTTTCCGTTGAGCAACTGGGCCAAATCGTTGGGCCCAGATTTTATTCAAGGGTTATTTTGGCTTGCTTTGGCTCAGTATTGAACCCAAGGAGCCAATTCTTAGACCTGCAGCTATTCGAATCCAATGGACTATTGATAAATGACACTTCAATAACAGTAGACTATTGATTCAAGGATATTTCATTATGCATTTCAAATAAGTCCAAATTAACATTCAACACACATGAGCAATGGCCTAGTGTCTTATGATTTACAAAACAGGATTCTACACATATGATTTATAAGACTAAAACTAAATATACCGTACTGGAGTTCTTTGATAAAGCATTTCTTACAATTCCAACCAGCTGATGGTTCGATTACTCACGAAGCACACTATATTAATGCTAATAACAGATAAATGGAGCACACACGATGATTATCCCCATATGTTCGACCATAATTCGTAACTAAACTTGAACTAAGTTAAGTATACCTACTGCTATTGGAACCTGCTACACTAGACTAATGTTTAAAAAAAAACAACTACGTGATTAAAGTATTCAATAGTCTATTACAGGTCGAAAATCCAGAGCATTCCAAATCAAGTTTTAAAGGAAACAGTCCTAATTATACAGTCATGTGTTTATTGTTCAGGTAATACAACCAAACGACTAACATTAATTAACATCTAATTACTTGTTCACAACAGAACACGTTCAATGAGCAGAGATCTGAAGAACAGTTCATTTCAACTCCAATTCGAAGCCACAATGAGGTGAATTTGAAGATATGTACCTGGAATTTGAAATACAACAAGGAAAAGGAGAAATCAGCAGCAGTAACGAACATGAGATCACAGCAATCACAAACAGCAGTAGTTCAACCCCAGAAATAATTTCAAATGA